AATGGGCAAAGCAGCAAAAGCTTAATTAAAAGCCATCCTTACGGCAAACAGAGAATATAATTCCAATGTCAATACAATTTCCAAAACTTTCAGTATGATATTTTGTTTTCCTAGCTATCATGAAAGGATAGCTACCACCAAAGTGGTTAGGGAAGAAATGTCAGAGGACTTGAGAAAGGAGACTTACTGTGCCACAGGTGCTTAGAGCAGAGAGAAAAGGGGCTATTTTGATTTGTTTGGCTAAATAAAGAAACAACAAAGGGAAGTAGCACAACACATAGTCAAGGAAGCTAATGAGAAAGAAGCACATGCATGGAGGAAGTTCGCAAAGCCACTGCTGGCACGGTGGTTAGACTTGATTCAGTTGTCCATGGCACGTAAGCTCCTGCTTGGATAACTGAAATGCAGTTTATGTGGAGCTCCCTCAGAAAATGGTCTGAAAATGCCTGTTGGCCGAGACTATGGTTGAGAGAATTTTGCATTATGAGCTTATGATGCCAATACTTCATCATCTTCACTGGGTCTCAGTCCGTTTTTGAGCCCAACTCAACGTGCTCATTGTGACCCGAAGGTTCTTCATAGCCTGGGAACACATTATCTCAAGGATCATCTCTGCATGAGATCATAATCTAGTTTCCTTCCTAGGGAAGCCTCGCCAAGTGAGGTGCAGTGGGTGGCTGTAAGTTGAAAGGAATTTTTCAGTAGTGGAACCCTGGTTATGATACATCCTCCACAGACTGGCCCACCTAGTTTCTAACATATTTTAATGTCCTTTGGGACCGGGAAAGGGCCTTCTATTTTACACTGGCTGTAAAAGTCTTTGAATACTTGTTGCAGCTCTTAAACCTACATTTAGTTCTGTTGTTTCTTTCTCTGCTCTGTTCTTGATTTAATTTGAGGTTGTTTTAGTGCTGTATCACAATAAATCAGATTATGGTGTTTTATTGTAGTTTTTAATTTGTTCTTACTCTCTTAGCCAGCTTGAGAACTTTTGTGATAGGCTAGCTTATAAATGTTAAGTCATTACGGTACAATATTAAAGGGAACTTGAGTTCTCTTTACAATGGTATAAAAATACAGAAAACTTGAGTAGAAAGAAACTCACACTCCATGAGAAGGCTCCATATAGTGGGAGAAATGAGACAACACTTGCCTTGCTTAATAAGCTCTAGGAGGCACAGAACCGAATTGTAGGACTGCACAAAGGGATGAAGAAGATGGATTGTAATGCTTAGGGCATAATCCTATGCATGTTCAGACTTTAAAAAGTCCTAAAATACTTTAAACACCCTTTTTTAGATCTCTAG